CACTCAGCTTCAGCCCTGTTTGCTGAACACTTCACCTCAGAATGAAGATGTTACCATAGCAAACCTCACCATCTCCTTTCCAGCAACTGAAAGCTTGGCAGCAAACAAAACAGTAGCATTCATTCCTGAGTTGAAGAGTCATACCAAGGTTAAGGGATACGATCACAACGTTGCCAAAGCCTGATTTTGGGATTATTCAAAGGCAAACTTTTATCTCTAGAAATACATCTGTCCTGCAAGATCGACTGACTGAATCTAAATTAAACTCCTGCTTTTAATCTGCTTCTAGAAGATTCAGCCTCTAAGATTATTTTGAGTAATTTCTTATCTTGAATATAATACGTCATTTTCTTTAACAGCTATTCCACTACAGGGTTGGTCTTTCTTCTAGGCACTGGCAATTCCAAGTTTCCTTCAATATAGAACAATGATTTCAGCTTAATCTAATATTTCCCCTTTTTTCCCCAAAGATGCACTTGCACTGGGCAGGTGATCTTGAAGTTCAGATTCACTGTCTTGATGGTTGGAAAAGAAAAAAATTAGGGAAATCATCCACAGTGCCAGGTCAACATCCCAGCATATACTTCGAGTAAATGCTTAAGTCTCACTAAGGTCTGTTTCACTCCATAAAGAGAAAGGTTCAGACCATTTCCTAGTGATATACCTCAATCCCTCAGCATTACTGGCTGCTTTTCTTCCACTGCTAGACAGCACATCAGGAAGTACATTCCATCACAGTACCAGCTTTGCATTAGAAAGTCTTCTTGAAACCACCCTTTGCATCACCACGAGAACTAAAGTCATGCAACAATTCTTTCACCAGTGGCTGGAAAAAAAGCCGCTCACAAAACTGAACCACAAACTTGTGATGCTATACACTTACTCAGCACAAAGATGTAGAGTTGGAAATTTATTTTTAGAGAACAGATTTTTTCCTCCAGCTATACAGAAGAATCCTTAGTTTTTTTTCCTGGGATAGAACTGAGACTCACAATACACATAATTTCAAAACTAGCCACGATTATCAGTATCATGTATAGGCACTATTTAAAGAGTTTATTCCCATTTATTAGAGCACTTTAATGGTTATTTGCATTACAGTAATTTCTTTATCTCTTCCATGAAGTTACATAATATTTTGACGCATAATTATTAAAAGTGAAATTTCTGTACTTATGCATTTTAACCTGATGCACTGTGCTGGTTTTGGCTGGGGTACAGGTAATTTTCTTCATAGTAGCTAGTTGGGGCTGTGTTTTGGACTTGTGCTGAAAACAATGTCAATAACACAGGGATGTTTTCATTATTGCTGAACAGTGCTTGCACAGAGTCAAGGCCTTTTCTGCCCCTCACCCCAAAAGTGAGTAGGCTGAGGGTGGGCAAAACGTTGTGGGGGGGTACCACCATGAAAGCTGACCCTAAAGACCAAGGGGATATCCCACACACCATGGCATCATGCTCAGCATGTAGAGCTGGGGAAAGGAGGAAGGATAGGGACATTAAAATGATGGTGTCTGTATTACATGTAATGAAGCCCTGCTCTCATAGGGATTGCTTCCCATGGGCAGGCAGGAGTTCAGCCATGAATGAATTCCTTGTTTTGCATTCCCTATTAAACTGTCTTTACCTCAACCCATGACTTTTACTCTTCTCATTCTCTCCTCCATCCCTCTGGGGAAGAGGGAGCAAGCAACTCCATTGCTCTTAGCTGCCCGCTGGGGTTAAACCACGACATGTAGAAGGGACATCCCACAGCCAGTAAGGGACTGGACTGGGTCTCATGTGACAAAGCTGGTCAACAGTCTGTACTCCAGATCCCATTTGTCCTGGTTTTGGCTGGGATAGAGTTAATTTTCTTCCTAGTAGCTGCTACAGGGCCGTGTTTTGGATTTAATGTGAGAATAATGCTGATAACATGCTAGTGGTTTGCCCCAAGTCAAGGACTTTTCAGATTACCATGCTCGGCCAGTGAGCAGGTGCACAAACAGCTGGGACACCTGACCTGAGCTGGTCAAAGGGATATTCCACACTGTACACCATCATGCCCAGTATATAAACTGGGGTAGTTGGCTGGGAGGGGCCAAGTATTGCTGGAGGGACAGGCAAGGCGTTGGTCAGTGGGTGGTGAGAAACTGTGGGGTGCATCACTTGGGTTCTGTTACTCTCCCTCTTTTTCATTACAATTATTATTATTAATAGCATATTATTGTTGTATTTTGTTTCAATTATTAAACTGTTCATATCTCAACCCACGAGGTTCACCCTCTCAAGGCCTCTCCATCCCACCCTGGGTGGGGAAATGAGCAAGCAGCCATGTGGTACTTAGTTGCCAGCAGGGATTAAACCACACCACCACTTCAAGATGATTTCTGATTAGGAAAAAATACAATTGGGCTAATCCAGTGAAACAGTGAAATGGTAAATATAGGGGGATTTCACAACTCTGAAAGATTTGCCTTCTATTAATACAAGCTGCATCCCAAACTTACATATTCCTGTAGTCATTTAGAGCTTCTCTTTGAACAAAGAGCTGTTTGTCAAGAATGAGAGGAGAGATACAGTCTTAGAGTACTCTGCAAAAACAAGCACTGTCTGGTACTTCTGAGGTATTATAGCAGCAAGAGCTTTTGCTACTTATAAGATAATTCATACTGAGAACATCTGGCATCTGTAATGCAATATTTCGTATTTATTCTAATTAGATCTCATTCTTACATGAAATAAAATTCAAAACACTAACCATAAAGCATAAAAGAAGTAAATTCTGCTGAATGCCAGTTGACATGACGGTATGTCCTATTTGCCTTCCAGGTGATGTCCCCAAATACACTTATGGTTCTTGTGCTGCCCCTTTCTTTCACATTCATGGGTAAATCTCACTGTGGAACAGCAGTTTTTCCCTCCACAAAGCAGGTGAATAAAATGATTATGCACTCATTTTCTACTTTAATTAATATGCTATTGCCTCCAGAATGATAAGGTTGATGGATTAAAGCCAAGAAATGGTTGTTTCTTTTGATCTGGTACACACTAGAAACACAAGAAGGGAACTCCTCACACAACAATTGGCTTCCTGAAAAACATGAAATTCAAAATCTTTACACCACAGCTCCTGGCTCATCACAAGAATAATAAATGGAAGAGACAAGAGGTCCCTCCCTGCTACTGTTAATAAACATAATATTTAAACATATATATCTTTGGAGACCTGTTATGTTTCATCCTTGAAACCCCAAACAGCAACAACGCTATTTTCTATGCAGAGATTAGGCATTCAGGAAATGTGAAGTGCCAGGAAATGAATGCAGGGTTTATTTTAATAGATTCATTGTTACCTGCAGACGCAGTCTAAGCAAACATTTCCTTCAGCAATAAAGTCAATAGCAGCCTTTCCAGCTGCTGCTATGACTGCATTTGTGACATCTCCATGGATAGTTCTCTGATCCATGTTAGTTTGTTGAACTGACAACAGCAGAAGAAACCGACAGTTAATTTTAATCTCCTCACCGTAAAGATATGAGCAGTTTCCTCACAAATTCATGGCATAATTAAGAGGTTATATCCAACTAACTGGGATTACAAGACAGGGAGCTGAACTACCCAGCTCTTCAGAGACCCAGAAGGCAAAAGCTGCAGGGGTTGAGGACTCACTCACCTCTACCGAGGTGTACAGCTCCCTGCCACAGCCCTGGCAGCTTCTGCAAGGAGGGATAGCCCTGAGGCCCTGCAGAGCTGGGCAGAGTTCTGCCACCTGGTAGATACTTACTTACAAAAAGTGAGGTGTGAGTGTTTTAAGGATATTCAAGGGCAATGCTAAGCACTTGAAGAATTAAGAAATTTCCTGCCAAGCATTTTATGAGACACCACCGGCTTTGTTCCACAGTTATCCCTCCCTTCCCTCTGATTTTGTTCTTTTCTCATTTTTGTCACTAGCACTGTTTACATCAGAAATGCAGTAGCATAAAAAAGAAGTAAAAAAAAAATTGAACCGACAACAAAAAAACTTTTATTTTTCTAATTACTGAACTTCTTCTTCCCCATGCATGCTGGGGAAGAAACAGAATTTATACTGCCTTCTGGGTCTTACAGACTGTAGTGTCCTGGCAAGCAAATCACCTCCCAGCCAGAAGGATTTTCCTGTTCATTCGAATTATTGTGTTGTTGTGATAGGGAATGATTTACTTCTGTGTCTTCCCCTCCCTCCTCCAGGATTTTTACATAATCTTACCCAAAGGCATATATATATATATATGTGTAAAAGCATGTTTATACACAAAACTGGCCTTGTCCCCGTGGCCCTAAAGCAAAAAGTTTACCTTCTGTATCAGAACACAAAACCCAGCAAACAGTTATGAGACTAAAGTTCAATGAACGACTCACCATGCCAATGCGTAAATAAGAGCCTTAGTAGGTACCACAGCCAAAGTGTGTGTGGCTGAGGAGCCCCAGAAACAGAAGTGCTGGGTACTACTAAATGTCACTGCCCCAGCAAAAGGTCACAGGTAAAAAACACTTCTTGCTGCCTCAAAAAAGGAACTGGAAACTCAACAGATTCACTGGTCTGGAGTTCTTGTAGTTACAGAGGTGTCAGAGACCCACCACAATTTATAGAAACACACATGAACACCCACACACCTACAACTGATTTCATCGCTGTCACAACAGCAGATCACAGTGGGTGTTACCCAGAGCTACAGGGAATGCTAGGAACAATTCCTGCGGTTGCAGTAATTCCTTGTGGCCTAAAGCTTATTTTTTATCACATACTTAATGAAAGCTTTTTCTTCACACTGAAACAGCCAAGAGATTTTACGTTGCTTTTCTTGTCTTTCACTTCAAATTTCAAGAGCTGCAGATCTCTTAACAAGGCACATTCCGCAGTGACACAGAGGGAGAGACCACAGGAACACTCCCCTCTGCTAACTGCAGTGTTACAGGCACAAATCCAGAACAAACCCACAAACATCCACTGTTATTTGGGCACCCTCTGCCTAACCTACCTGCTACTTCAGAAGATAGGTGGCTCCACCAGTCCCAGGTCATCTCCACCAGCCCCACACTACCCTTTCAAGGAGCTGAAAGCTAGAGTAGTATGAGGGCTGATATTTAAGCAACTGAAACCCGCCCCAGGTGTTCAGAATACACATTTTATCTAAGATCCATCTGCAGGCAATGAAGAGAACAAGATGCCTTCAGCAGGTGATTCATCTGACTTATCAGCTATCTAACAGCTAGGCCTTAATGGGTGGGGTTTTTTTCTTTCTTTAGGAGCTGAGTCTCAGATAGCCTAAAAAAAGCACATTTTAAAAGAGATGTGCCAATACCTTCTATTGCTATGAAGGTCAGTAAATTTCATATTCACCCACCTTAAAGATAACAGCGAGGGAAAAAAAAAAACAATTAAAAAGAGCAGAATAAAAAAGCCTAAGTAAAAAAAAATCCCAAACTCTTGAAAATCAGGGCATACTTCCTCTTCAGATAATCTTTTTTTTATAGGCACTATTGTTCTCTTTCTAGAAAAGTATTTAAGTCATAGAACACTGACAGCATAGGCTGTCAGACATCTGATACACATAATCACTTCCATGGCCTGGTTTCCCTTCTCGTCAATATAGTTTAAGCAACATGACAGATGTAGCTTTTATTTGTTTTCTTGTTTTCTTTTCATGGCATCAGGGTGACTTTCCGCCTGTATGAAGGCCATTTCAGTGGCCTTAAAAAAAAACAAACCGAAACCAAGTTGGCAAATTGACAGTGGCCTGAACAAAAGGCAGGAAACAATTATTCTGCTACCAAGTATCAGATTATATTTTTGTTATCGTGCATCCCTGGGTACATAAACCTCAAATTCTGCGGAGAATTTCAAACAAAGAAATGAAACAAAAAATCTCTGTTTGCTCAGTGCACATATATATATATTTATACATACACATAGCAGAGAAAGGACTTGCCACAGACCCAAAATCTGTGGCAATTTTCAAAAGCAAAGCCAATATGCATATGCTGGATGTGTACTAGTAAATCAAACCTGCCTACGACTGTCCCCTGGGCTTGGGACCAGTAGCCACCGAGCAGCCTGAGCCCAAGGAGCACCCTGAGCCCTGGCTCCCCTGTGTATCCTGGTAGTCCACAGGCTCCTTGGTCCACACTGACTCACACAGTCACACCCAGGAACTGTTCACTGGGCTGGTGTGAGGCTCAGAGCCCCTCTGGCCACCACACTGACGGACAGGCTGTGGAGGTGAAGAGGACCCAAACCTCGGCGCTGAGCCCTGGTGCTGGCAGGGCTGTGCCCCACGAGAGCACAGCATGCGCAGCAGGAGCAAGGGAGCTGCTGTAGGAGCTTCTGGAAATAGAACAGTGAGATTTTTTTCTTGAGGAAGATGAGGATCCAGTTGTGCAAATGGTAGAGAGCTGTATGCTGAGGAAACAGAAGGTTCCTCACACCCTGAGACTCAGATTGGTGCTACCCAAGATCTGCATCAGTAATCAGACATTTGGCGTTGGACACAACTAAAGGGGAGCCAGCAAAAAAACATCACAGATACTGCCTGTGCTCAAAGATGATGAAAAGAAAATGAATTTTTGAATGACATCTGTGATTGGGTTGAAAAAAGACCCACATGTTTCTCTTCAATATTTTCTAGAAGTGCTCATATCTCAAGAGCACTTTGGGTTGTTTTTATGACTTTTCATGATTCTTTCTATAGCTGCTTCTCCTATTTAAGGTTAATAATCCCAAGGATGTTCAACTCTATTTACATGTAAACACAGGAATACAAACCAAAGCCCACAAAATATTTTCATGAGTGGCAGCTGTACTGACTGATCTTTTTCCCACTGAGACAGGGATGTGGGGGCAAATGCTGACTATTGGACTAAAGAAGTGCTGCAAGTGTTTAGTGGAGATGATGTTTTATTTAATCACGAAACAGCTAAGAAACAGCCAGTGTTATTTTAGAATACTTTATCCCAGAATTCACAAAAACTTTGTCTTTACTTCCAAGAGATCAATCAATTCTGCAGTGTCCCATGAAGAGGATGCCTTCTTCTGCTATAAACGTGAAATCTTATTCAGAAAAGAGGCCCAGTTATTTATTTTAATGGACAATACAAAGGAAAGGCTGGCCATAAGAGCTCTCCATTCCTTATTTAAAACAAGGCTTACAGTATAAAGCAAAAATATGAAAATACAACTTCAGGGAGGACAGAGAACAGCAGGATTTCTAATAATGTTCCCTCTTTACATGTGCCTTCAGAAATGTAGTAAAGAAAATCTCTAGTAAAGATATCCTGTATCCTCTCTCTTTCTTGAGCAGCCAAAGGAACCATTGTGGGTCATAGCTTTCCAGATTTTCAACATCCCTTATTAAGTAAGTTGAGATACAGAGAGATATTTACAATGATCCCACTCTTTTATGTTCCAAATGATTTGTTTATCACATAATCACTTCTGGATAAAAAGAAAAATTAAAAAATTAGATGTTGAAATTAAATAATTTTGTATATAGCACTGTGAATATAAATGGAAGCTTTGATCATTAGCTGACAGAATGGATTGTCTCCCTAAGAATAATTTGGGTATTAGATTTACGTGTGCTTGCCCGCCATCAGGCCTATAATTAGTTAAGCTACTTAATATGATTAGCTTCTGAAATGGAATTTACTGAATCAGAGAAGACGGGAGAAAATGAGGAAATAGAGTTTTCTTTAGTGCTGCATACTACAAATCCTGTGTGTCATTTTGGCTACAAGAATCTGAGTTTTGTCTTGTTTTAATTTATGGCACAGAACAGAAGTCACACAAACAACTGTCTTCTCTTCAGATGACAGTTTAAGTGACAGGGTGTAATAAGCTCAAATTTAGATTTGGTTTATGGGAAAATAATTCACACAGTGCACCAGCTCTACCTGGTTGGCATTGTACAGAGAGAGATTGAAGGCTGTCAGAGTCGAGTTGCTGAGTTGTTCTAACCAGGTCCCATCCTCTGCATCCACAGAGATAAACCTGAGATCTGGCTTTTGTCTCCAGCTTGGTATGAACCAGGATCTTGTTGTCTGCCTGCCCTTCTGTATAGATGTCAAGAGTCTGGGTGCCCCTGTTTCCCCAAAGAAGTAACCTTCTCTTCACAAAAAGACTGACAAATTATAGTGCAGGGTTCAGCTTGATTAAATTTCAGGGAGTCCAGACATGAAGTTTCTGTCATATAAAGAAAAATAAAAGACCTTTAGGACTCATAATCAGAAAAAAACCAGGAGGAACATGGTAAGCTCTAGCCAATTCCACTGGCAGCAGTGGTATTAATTAATATTGCCAAAACAAGAAATTGAACTTATAGTCATTAAAAAGTTGCAAAAGCAGCTTTAGTGCAAGCAATTTCCTATTCAGCTGAGTTTTTAGTGGTTTAACTTTCACACCGCATAAATACACAACTAAGCCATTAAGTGATGTTCAGGTTAGTGAGGATCTAAAAGAGGAGGAAGACATTGGCTTCTTCCCTAGTTTTATGGGGAAGAGAGCTTTTAGCATGGAAAGGACAGGGCAGGTCTGTGCTAGGAAGGGATTTAGCTGTACGGATGTCAGCTGAGCTGCGCAGGTCAGGCTCTGGATCCTGCTGTCAGGGACAAGAAAGTCTATTTTTCTTCTTTTGAAGAAAAGGTATAAAACTACCAGGAACACAAGCTTGTGGAATCCTACAGAAGAAAGTATTATGCAAATATAACACATGTTTTACTTAGAATTAAGCTTCTGGAGTTATTCACTCCGTGCTTAAACTGTGTGAAGAATTATGCCAATTAAATGGAATAGACTGTAAGACAGAACATTCCTATTGCAGTCTTTTTTCTGGGGGCTGCTTGTAGCAGGAGCATTTCAGGTAGCTGCAAACTTCTAAAAAAAATTGTATTTGTTTATTCTTTCAGTCTCAGCAATCTTTAGTTGAGGGCAACGGGAGGTCAGGGATACATGGGTGCGTCATGTTCACATGCTTCCAGGAAAGCATCAAGTTTATCCCTTCTTCTGGGAAAGGCAGACAACAACCCTTTATTTTCACCAAGCCAGAAATAATTATTGCAGTTCTGTTTGTACAGTTTTATTGGAGATTCTTTTGAAAATCTCAATAGGAAGGAGAAGAAAAGATGGCCTTTCACCAAAAGCTAGGAGAACTTGAAAAAAACCTCTTACTCACCACTGCATAAAAAAGAATACACTGTTCAAGAGATGTCTGCAAGCTGGCCTCCCACCTCTTTGAGCCTAATTTGCTTGGAGGGAAGCAGAAAAATAGTGGTCCTTGAAAACTCAAGATTCCAGTGCAAAAATCTGGTTTAACGTTAACATGGACCTTCAGCTGCCATTGTCACAGTCAGATGTTTTAGAAACATTGATTTTCTTGTACTGATGATAAAATGTTATGAGAGTATTTGTCCAGTGAGTGCTTAGTGGCTTTTTTTTCAGATTTAAGTACATTGTCTCATCTGTTTCAGAACATTTTTCTTTCAGAGAAACCGTATGACATTAGACTGCTGTATGACTGCCTGCCAAGTCTCTTTTGTCTCTTCAATATTTAATTACAAGTCCAAAGAATGACACAAATATAGGAAACTGTGGTCTGAAAAGCTGTGCTTCCTGCAACCCATTTTACTCAACAAGGAGAACAACAGAGTCAGAGTGAGGTTTTTGGCTGAGCCGAACAATGAAAACATTTTTGCATGAATATTCATTCATATTTTCTAAGACTTCAGATGGTTACACCAGTTCTGCCCACCTTTCACGGATTTCAGATTTCTTGTCGAGAACACTCTTCTTGGAAATGAGCTCCCACAGGAGTTAGGCCAAGCTGCATAGCCAAGTGACCCACGTGCCGTGCCTGTGGGTGTAACACCACCTCCCCAGCATCACCTCACTCTGACCCCTCCTTTCCACCAAGATGCTGAGATCTGCTCCTGGAGCATCCTCACACTTGTGGCCACTTTGGCCATGCTCTTGACATGAGCGTGGGGTGTATCCACTGTGCTGATCCAACAGATCTGCATGAGTTCAGGTCCTCCCTAAAATAATCCCTACAATAATCCCACTGTGATATATAACTCAATGAATTGTTTTGAAAAGCAGGATCAACCCATTTTGACATATGGAGAAAGTACCTGAGA